AACAAAAGAAAGTGTGCAAGGGAGTCTGGTATTGGTAGTAAATGACGATATAATTCAAGTGCTGTTCGTGATCCAGATTGATCAGAAGAGATAACATGACATAAACCCCTAATTCAATACTTTCTGCATGATTCTACGTGAAGTTAGTTGTAGCATTTTACATACGTGGACACTGGTAGGCTTTATTTAGATCAAACGGGAAGATGACATCGCCATTTCTACAGTATTCACAAATGAATCCTTTAGCTTGGCATAACTGAAGAAAAAAAAGGACAAAAATGAAAACGTGCATGGTATTATCTATAAAACATAAAAGACGACATAAATATGAGACGACAATTCACTGAGTTGTTGTGTTTTGGTATATTGTTACAGGCAACTCACCGGACAGTCCTCAACGTGCATCAAAGATTTCGTGACGAGGTTTTTAAAATAAACTAACAGTTCTCCGCTTTTGACCTGCAGCAAATACGTATTTTGAGTCACACATGTTAGATTGTTACATGGAAAGGAAGGAAAGACAAAGAGAGTGGTGCATGCTGGTCTAGCTTGGGTATGACATGCACTTAGTCTCTTTCCTGATATGAGTAAAGTTAGTTTTAAATAAGACCATTATGCAGCATAATGGACATCAATAACTTGGGTGTAATGTTCTCACATTTCGGACCACGTGTCATTCCCTTGAGAATAAGATTCTTTGTTGCATCCAAATTCATGTGTCTTCTTATGAACAAACGGTACTGCAACATTCTGAACTGCTGCCAGTCGAAAATATGAAAGGTACCGACTGATTAGGTTTGATTGACAGCAGCGAAAAACCAAATTTCAGCGTGCAACTCACAGACACAGAGTTTGCATGTTTTTGAAAATTGCAGCAAACAAAGAAATGATACTCAGGGGACTGACACGTGGAGTGAAATGGGAAAACATAACACCCAAGCACACCCAAGCTAAGAAGGTTTGGGTACAGACTATGCAAGGAACTGACTGATCAGAATCCCTCATAATCACGACAGGTTACCTGTATCAAGTCCTGTAAGGAATACAGATGCTGCTCATTCAGTAAATAATCTGGGATTCTGGAAAACTCTTGCTGTATTCTGTAGACGATACCAATCAAATATGCTCGTTTAAAGTCGTATAACTTGTGGCGCAACACTGAAACAGGTAAACCGTGATACGAAGGATACTTACTCTCGCGACTTGCGACATGTTTGTGCAAATGTTCTTAAATAGTAGAGTTGTTTTCGAAGATTCTAAAAACAATAATGAGAAGTCAGTAAGTAAATTTGTAAGTATTTTGTTTTGTGAATAGGTGGTGGTACATATAAAAGTAAAGTAATTCAGCTGGGCCTGGTTGTACGAARGATGGAAAGCGCTATCCGACGGATAAATCTTATCCAGTGGATAACTTTATTGGCTAACAACATCTACATTATACTTATCTACTGGATAAGGATTTATCCGTCGGATAGCGCTATCYATCCTTCATATAACCGGGCCCATATAGGATAGTTGGGGAGTAGATGGTTTGGCGATTTCAAATAATGAGTTGTTTTCGAAGATTTTGAAAATATTAATAAAAGGTACCTAGGTAAGTACATTTTGAAGTTGTTGGTTTTGTGTAGGGGTGGTAGTTAGATTATTCTGTAATTGGGTTGTTAAGATGGGTACATGAGTTTAATAGAAAGATTGGTTGATAATTGGTTAACTACTTCGATGATACGGCGGCCATCTTGGATYAAAATGCATTACGGTGCGCCAAGGGGGCAAATAAAGCTTTGTTATAGTAATGACGTTGATTCTTATTAATATCTCACCACAAGAGAATACAACGAAAGATGAATTAAGTCGATCATCTTTACCCATAAACGAAAGAGAAACACACGAAAGTCTATATATTTTCCGTAATCTTTGTTTTGATTTGCTCTCTGGCTCCTGGCAAGATGGCCGCCGTATCGTCGAAGTTATCCATTGGGTAAAGGGTAGGGAGGCTGGCAAGTGGCATGGATGTTTGGTGACATAATTTATCAAGTATTCTATCAATAATACTATTACCTTAATTGTTTCTAATTGGTGAACTTTACTGTACAAAGATGGGTTCAGGTCTTTAATATTAAATAATGGATCTGTGTAGATTTTAGTAAGAAGATCCATGCTAAATTTTGACACTTCATATCTGATAGAAACTCTGTCAAGGAAAGATGCTGTAACTARCTAACTAATTATGTTTCTTCAAGAAAATGTTTATCGGAAACAAATTCCGCACTAGTCAGAGCTCTAACCAACTAAGCTACTATATGGAACGCCCTAACGACTAGAATATTGTTACGACACCAATGGTCAGCTACCAGCCCTGCTTGACACTTTGGAAACCAAAGCGAAKCAAAAATTGTCGAGGTCTCAAATCTGAGACCTCAGAGRTGAGGGAACTGCAAACCAGTGTCGAATTTTGCAATATTTTAGTATTGAAATGAAGAACGAAAATGGTGTAATTTCTTGAGTGATTTTACTCAGTGGTTTGGTAGGGTCTGGTAAAAAAATAGAACAATGAACGAACACGGCTTATGGTCAGCAATGTTAGTCTGCAAAGGATACTTTCTGAAGTCCCATTTACGAATGATCCTGGCAGGAATCACCATCAGTGAGTTATGATGACAGCTGCTACAAAAATACTTTCCTAGATAATTACAGTAACGAAACCTCTTCATGTATCCTGATAAGGGAAACAGGGAAAAACGCTTAGGACAGGAGGGCGTATTAGAAGAGGAAGAGGAAGAGGAAGAGGAAAAATAGGAGAAGTGTGGGTATGAAAAATAGAAGGAGAAGGAGAAGGAGAAGGAGAAGGAGAAGGAGAAGGAGGAACTAAGAAAGTAAATCATTCATTCATTCATTCATTTTCTTTTTGCATGTTACCTGGAGCGACTTGCATACCACAGCCAGTACAGCGATAATTCTGTTCTTCCATCAGCTGCTTTCTCCTGCACAGATTCAAAAACAGATTAAAAGGGTCATAGATATTAAAATAAATTATGATGGAATCAGAAAAGAGTACGACACACATGCACAACATGTCTGAAAATCAGTTTACTGAGCCGTTTAGTGTGGATAAATAATGTTAATTGATTGATTGATTGATTGACATACCTTGGAGGAGGATGAATGTGGAAAATAATCTGTGATCGAGGTGGTGCCCACTCTAGATTACCTCGCATACGACACTGCAAACAAAACCCCACAAGGAAAAGTGTTAGCAAAATCAATGATGCTGTTTTTGTTGTAGTCGTTTGTTTCATTGCGCTATTTATTGGAGCCATAAAATATTTGAATAACTTAAACATTATATATTTTAATACTCTGGCATTATGCATTGATACTCTGGCATTATGCATTGATAAACATTTTCACTAAGATGCGAAGTCTTCCCCTCACTGCCTACTACGATTATAATCTTCTTTTTCTTTACTTCGAGACTTGCGTCGAACACCGCACACACGTCGCACACCGCACACACGTCGCACACCGCACGCACACCGCACACACGTCGCACACCGCACGCATATCCAGTGAACTAGAGAACATCTTCCTTTGAGTTCGAGAGTGCAACATGGCACAAGAATTCTACAAGGAGTGTAGCCTTTTAACAAGTTATAATTCAGTACAAAAGACTTACAGGTGCCGAATATCTTTGTTCTACTGCAGGAGCATCTTCCTTTTCTCTAACATCATCAGGCGCTACTGAATAAGCCTGTGGTAGCGGTAACAGAGACTGCGGAACGTCATTTTCGGATACCAACCACTGAAGTTCTGAAGCTGCAGGATGTTTCTTGTTGGCAAACTTCTTTAGAAGGTTTTTGGCAACAGCTTCAGCAGATAATGGAGGTGAAGTGCTTGATTCAATACTAGGAGTCATGAGATGATCAAATTGGTCTTGGGATTCTGGTACCAGTGTTGTTTCTGATCCTGATAGGCCAGCAAGACCAGGTATGTCGTCCATAAAGGAAATCTCTTCCCAGTCTAGGCTGATGTCATCTGATCCTAGGATGCTTGGATCTGTGGTGTGAAGGAAACGATTCTTCAAGCAAGCATGGGTGGCGTTCGCGGCTAACGCGTCGTTTTTCACCGCTGTGAGTCAAACGGGTCGGGTCGCTGGTTCGAGCCCTGCGGTCGTCACATGTGAATTGAGTTTGTTTGATGTGTTGTTCTCTCCTATGCTACGAGGGTTTTATCCGGGTTCTCCGATTTCCTCCCTCCATAAAATTCAACATATGAGTTGAGCATTGTGTGCATAGAATATTAAATGTAGTGGTAGTGCGTGCGAGCGAAAAGTGTCCCCAATTAGTGCGAAAGCGCTAGAACGACTAGACACTTAAATAAAAGTGATTTATTTTAAGCGTGCAAGGGTGGATTGATGAAAACAAATCCAGTAGAAAAGTGCCTTACTTGATGACGAAGATCTGCTACTCTGATCAGAGCCGCTATGGTTACTGGTAGACTTCTCATCACTGAAGGCTGACTGTTCCAGCTTCTGCTTTTCTCTCTTCTTCTCGAGTCGTCTTTTCTCGATTTCTAGCTTTAAATGGCGAATCTCATCGTCATCTTCGTCTTCTTCTTCGTCTTCAGATGCAATTATTCGATCACATTTCATCTAAAAAAGAAAAGAGAAATATTTCCAAAACATGCCTATGTATAAATAAGAAACTAGAATAACACACTGTAACAATAATAATGAGTAACGTGATAAGCATATAAAAGTTGTTTAGTTAATTCTACCTTCCAATTGTTTGTACAAAAATAAATACAATGGGGAACTGATACACTCACGGCAAATTTAAAATATTGACACATATATGTCAATACTTTAGTTTTATAGTGGTTTTCCTAGTCTCCCCCACAGCCGCTTTCGATGTTGTCACGCAACGTTTTCTCTTCAGGGGAGAAAGCGTTGCGTGACGACACTGAAAGCGGCTGTGAGGGAGACTATGGTTTTCCCGGCTCCTCGTTTTACCTGTTCAATAGCTTGTATTAAGGCCTCGGAGATACTGAAGTGAGCATTTTCCTGAATAAAGTAAAAAATAAAATTCTTAGCAACATGCCACTAGAAAGAATGAAGGCTGGTAATACTCAAGTCCCGGATGTAGTTTTGTACGAAAAATACGAAAGGCGTATTTCCCAGTAAAACACTCATGTCTATATAATAAATAGGGGTGTGTCGTCTGTTAGGAAAACAAATATATGTGCTAGCAAATCTTTATGAAATTTATAACTCAATGCGAGTTTCTCATGTCGCGTAGTGCTAGCCCTAAAGCTAGAACACACACGAATCAGTGGTTTGCTTTTAGCACGCCTTTGGATAAGTAACATACTACTGTACGTTTTATAAATAAGGAAGAGTCACGGCAGGTGACGACATGCTTGAGCCAATCACGGTGCACAACAAGACTACAGCTCAGGCCGAATACATACATTGAACTTCACATGAGCCGAACTATAGCTAAAGACATAACAGAAAGCCGCCGTATTATATCTATAATATTGCTTTCAATGCGTATAACTCATTTGAAACTCAACGTTTTATCTGAGCCTCACCCAATCAACTTTCTCCTACGCACTGGTGGTCGCGATTCATTAAAGGAGAGTTTGCATGATACTTTTCTCGTAGGTGAAGTGCTTGCTCGATATTTTTTGAGGTATTTACACAGTCCACAGTCCACAGTCCACCCCCCCTCCCCCTCAATAATGGTCCGTCCCTTACTTTATCCAGTTCACACGAAGTCAGGTCCTGTGATGCCAGCATCGTTGCCAGGGACTGTTCTTCTTCTGTTGGTGACAGTGGGTCATTGAGGTAAAAATTTCCTGTAAACGATGCAAGAACAATAATGAAAAATAATTTGTCACTGCCTTTGGGTTATTTGCTATTGTTAAAGACGCGGTAATACACTGGACAAGAAAAAGGCCTTGCAACGTTTTTACATTTCAAATTACAAAGTGTTGCTCGTATTTGTGCTCTACAACAGACGAGGTTTTCTCGCAAAGAGAACAAATAGCTTCCAATGCGCGTAACGAAGAAACTTGTATAACGCAATACAAAATTGTTGCGTGACTGACAAGGTGCACGATCTAGTTCTCCGTTGGCCTTTGARGCATAAAAAGTTTCAGTGTTAGTTTTTAATAGGTCAAACTCCAACCATACTCTCTTCCGAGCAGATTTTATGTACCTCTAAAACTTGGGCGCAATGTTTTCTCATTCAGTTTAGATCACGTGTTATTCGCTAGAGTATCATTGCTTTGTTTAACGTTTGCACATGAGAAGACACGTGAATATGAATACACTTCAAACATACAATCTTTTATTCTTAAGAGAATGACACGTGAACTGAAATGCGAAATTATAACGCCCAAAGCTAAGAAGGTTTGTTGGTAAGCCCATTAAAGGAAGAGCCAGGAGGTACTATGTTCTCAAGGCCTCCATTGCAAGTTAATAATCTTGAATTTAATTATTTTTCTGAGAAGAGATTTCGAAAATTTTGTACCTGAATTTTCTGGAAGAGAAGAAGACAATTGAAGACGAATTGAATTAATTGGTTTTCTAGTTCTTGACGTTTCTTCCAAACTAAGCTGTCTTTTTGTTGGCTTCGTCAAGCCAGTGCCATCAGATTTCGATCTCGTGTGTCCAATAGCTTTCTTGGATTTATAATCCGAAGAAATATCCCCAAGGTTTTTGCTTTCATTTTCTGGTAAACTTGTTTTTCTAGAATCTTTTAAATATTTTTCGCTGTTGTCATTTCTAATGTTAACTTCATTCAAACTGCTACTACGTCTGTTATTAGTGGGTGTTTGTCCACCGTCAAACCAGTCAGAGGGACTTCCGCTTCGTTCATCACTTTCCATTACGACTGAAAGAGCTACATGAGCTAGTGTTCCCTGATAAATATTTTGCTTGGCTCTCTTTCGCTCGACCAGATTGAGCCTTTGTAGAATCATTTTTTCTTTTGCTAGAGCCATTTCATGATTGTCCAGAAATTCAGAACACGTTGAATGTGACGACAAAGTATCTTTTTCAAGTGCAATATTGATGTTTTCTAATTCTTCTTCTTCTTCTTCTTCTKMWGATGTTTGCAGTTGTATATCAGAGTTAGTATCATTGGCGTCTTCTTCATATCTATCAACACCAAGAGAATTTTTATCATCTATTTTTTGTTCAATATAATCAGAGGAGTATGGAGTTTTATGTTCTTCAAATATTGTGCCATCRTTATTAAAATTGGGAATTTTTTCTTCGGGTGAGACTGCAGATGATGCATGATTGACTTCCTTTTCTGACACCTCTTCGAAATTTTCTCCTTTGTTGACCTAAAAATGATGCAGCAAAACAAAGCTAAATTAGGACCCATTAAGATAAACTACACTATACCAGTAAGCAGCCTGCTATTCCAGTATAGTAAGGAARATGTAAAAAAAGAAAACTTGTTATGGGTGATATGTACTGCTAAGGCACTCTCATTCACTACTGTGTAGTTCAAGACTGGGGTTGCAGGTTCAATTCTTGATTTAGCTGCCTATAAGTGAGTTAAGTTGATGGATGTGTTATTCTCTCCCTTTCCATAATAGTTTTTCCGGGGTTTTCACTTCAGTTTTCCTCCCTCCATTTAAATCAAAAGGTTAGTTGAGTTTGATGTGTTGTAAATAGTAAATGTACAGGGTTTGGAAGGGGGGTCTGGATCCAGAATCACGCAATATCCCCCCCCCCCCAAAAAAAATCCTGTGTCCCATGACATTTTTCATTTTTCCATTGATGACCACATCCTGGATCCCATGCTATATTTAATCTGTTTCCCTGCTCTGGCGAATACACTTCCAGACCCTGAATGAACTTCTAAATTCCAATTTGATCTTGGGCTTTCACCTAGTATGAATCTGAGGGTTCGGTTCATGATTGTCCCACTCTGTGATTACAGAGAAAACTGATACAAGTAGATTTTTGTAGTGCATTTGTAGCACACCTCAGATGTCAGGTTTCATTTAATAGGACAAGTTTTGATATTTTTAATGTGAACTGTCATTGAAATATGATCTTTCAATGAATTTAAAATAAAAGTCGATAAATATGGATAAAAACACTTACCAGAAGAGTATTAATTTGAGTAAGAAGACCAGGATTATTACTTTCTACAGCCTTTAGACATGTACACAAAGACTGACAGTATAATTCACTTCTTAGAAATGCATAATCTATGAAGACAAACCATGAATTAATTTGAGTAGAAATTATATGACAATAAAAGTGAGAAAGATACTGAGAAAAAATCTCAAGAAACCAAGAAAGATAGCCTAGCATTTTCCTAAAAGCATTCACGTATAAATCACAAATCTAAAACATTGAAGAGGCTTTATAATAAACCTTCAACTACTCTTTTGACCAAGGTCCAAAGTTTGAGAAAAAAATAGACATTTAAGTACAAGAATAATGTTATTAATATTTCATATCTTTGACCTTTGGAATGAAGTGATGAACTTTGGTTTGAATGAGGACGGTTTTTTTCAATCAACAATCCAATAATTGGATCTGTTCCCTCATTTGAAAAATAATATTTCTTTATGCTTTGGTTTTAAAATTTTTATCAATACCCTAAGACAACCTTTGGGCTCACAAACTTGCTAGGGCATGGCTAACTCACAGATCAAATTTGAATTTAGTCTGTTAGATTTTACAGAGGGAGAAAAATCTGAAAACCTTTGTTCTTTGCTTTACTCTCCTTTGATTTGAAGGCTTTGCTTAGGAGCAAAGCACTCAAAGCAAAGAAGATACCTAATGAGCTCTATTCCAGCTCCAGAAAATGTTGATGGTATTTGTCAGGGATTTTATCACTGTTTCTTAAAAATATTTTATAACTTTCTGTTTTAATAACTTTTTATTAGTATCTCTGACAAAATCAATGCTTCATACCATAATAATAATTTTTCATAAGTTGTGAGTTCTCAATGAGTTTTTTGATATGGTTAGATATAGAGTGTTCAAGCAGTTCTTGTTCAAGCCATTTTTTGCCAGACGTTCCTCTACCACACAGTCCACCATCCTTGAGAACAATGTCATAGTCTTGTGGATCACCAAAAAAGTCCTGAAACAAAATTCATACGTCCATCAACAAGTTTGATACATCAATTTGAGTCGGAAGATGAGTTGGGACGGATTCTTTAGTATAATAATAATGAGGAGATATCAAAATAATGAAACCAAAACTACTAGTTTGCGATTCATCATTAAGAGACGTCTGGAGTAAAAGGCGACTACAATAAGATACAGTACGTGACCTAAGTTTTAATATGATTGTAAACACAGCGTTTGAAGCACGGATCTTAGAGTTTCAACTCTTTTCAACAGCACTACAATTAAATAATACATTATTTATTGGCTTTGAAAACATTGAAAAACCTTGGCATTCCTATATATTCTTCCCACCCCTTTTAACATTTTGTCAAAAAGGAGTGAGGGAAGGAGTGGCATGAACTTTGATTCTTTTCAGCTTCAAAAAAAATYGATTTAAGATAAGGATATTATCTAAATAATTGCCTAGTTTAATATCTTTTTATCTAAGTAATATAACTGTAGAACGGGTGGTCAAAAATAAAGAGAATAAGGAAAGCTTTTTAAGACTTGCCTGGCAGTGCCTTAGACCATGACGAAAAATCCCTTCTAAATCATCAAGAATCCTCGATAATCCACCATATGTAGACCAGACGTTCGCATTTCGACTAGCTAGAAGAACATCYACCGTAGATTTAATCCTACTAAAGAGATTCCATTTTATTTGCTCGTGTTGTTGTGGTTCTTCTTCAGCGGTACCAATGGCCGCCATCTTTGTTATGCCTCCCGCCGCTGAGACGATGTCAGCGAATACATCACACAGGGAGCCCAATTTTTATTAACAAATTAAGAAATTTGAGAAGAAATCTTACTCACAAAAGACAAAACACGTCAAGCGAGCATACTAAGTAACATTCTTATGCTCTCTTGAATACATATAGATAAATGTAAATAAAGTTATCAACTTCAAAAGTGTCATTGAGTATTTATTTCAACAAATTTTGACGAAATTCTAAATTCTTTAATATTTTTAATAATTTTAGCAATTTTTTAAGGTTCAACTGTGATTTATCGATAACATTAAATATAATAAGATTTAAATCATTATTTAATTGCTAAAAAGTTCAAAAAGTAAGAATCCCATTACTCGGGATAACTGTGGTAGAAGGCCTGGCATCCTATTTTCGTTACTATGGTTATAATGGACTCCATTGTTTACGTAGTTCGATCTCTAAGCAGAGCTTAGTTGAATTATTATTTGTTTTTTTCTTTTAGATTATCCTTATATTTTTGAATAGATTGTTACCGAAATGTTAAAGGTTTGTCATGCAATAGTTTTTGGCAAGCACACGGACCTATAAAGACGTTGGATGGCTTCCAAGTTGGAGATTTAGCAAAGGTCAGTCAATGTGAGTCTACACACRAACTGGATCTCTTATAAGCTTCGACTTCATATTTTTAATCCTGAGTCTGAAAAATTACAAACTTGGCCATAATCTACGTTTCTGATGGTTACATACTTACTTTACTCACTGGCTTACTTTAAAATTTGTTTGTAATAATCATTGATATCAGATGCAAAGTCTATMGTAACCCCATGCAGCCCACTTGAAAAATTTGTGCTGGAAGTGGTAAATAATATGATGTAAATCTAGATAAAGCTTTAATTTGATTTTTATCAACAGCTACTTAATTCAAGATGCCAGGGAAGAAAAAAGGAGGAAAGAAAAAGAAAGRTGGCAAGAAGAAAAAGGAAAAGAAAGGCTTGAAAGGACTTTTGAGTATAGCAGAGCTGTTGAAGTCTGTGAGACAGCAGTATGAGATCAAGTGCAAGGAAAGCAAGAGTTTGGCCCATCAAGATGTTAAAAAACTGATCAATCAGTATGCTGAGGACAACACTCTCTTGGCTAAGGTACCAGCACATGTATTTTCATTTTATGAGGTTGTTCTCAGGTTAAATTAATGATAATCCTGTTTGGTGTATTTTAGTGAAGAAATAGAAAATGCTTGCATTTTGTGTGCTGTAAATATAGCACAAGATTATTATCAGAACATGAGAGGAGAGAAGTGCCTAAGGAGAAGTACAGTATTATGGGGTTTTATATTATGATGACTAAGTAGAGCTGGCTTCTTAACCCTGCTTGAGTGTTCTTCCCATTCTTAAATGCTTTATGACTTCACACTTTTTGTCTCTTTCATATAAAATATATCAGAATAACTGTTCTTTTAGATATGCAGGTCTAAGGGAGGGGCATGCATGTATGGGGTGTGACAACTACCCCCCTCCCCCTTTCTATAAAATTCTAAATCCTTCCCTGATATGAATGACTGATAGGAAAAAGTGCTTGCATTTCTGCTACCATTTATGTATTTTTTTATTCTTTTATTGATCTGTGCAGTTTATTTTAACGCCTGGACCACCTGAGGAACCACCAGTAAAGATAACACCTCTACTGTCTGCCCTTAGAAGTATGAGATATGAATATGTCAAGGAAATGTACATCTGGGATATTCCACTGGAACATGAAGATGTTGCTTCCTTGGCTCTCTTTCTTGAGCAGCCCATGTATCCAGTTAGCTATCTTGAGCTTATGGACTGTTCAATAAATAGCTATGCTATAGAGAGATTTGGCAGGTATTAAGAGTCTTGTCCTTGAGCAAGCCATGTATCCAGTTAGCTATCTTGAGCTAATGGACTGTTCAATAAATAGCTATGCTATAGAGAGATTTGGCAGGTATTAAGAGTCTTGTCCTTGAGCAAGCCATGTATCCAGTTTAAGCTAAAACTAAATGTTGTCCATGCACAAGTTTCACAATAAGCTGACTGGTATTTCATTTGAAAGCAGTATCAAATTCCATAGCATTGGAATTTGGTGTAAATGTCATGAGGTACAGTAATGTGACTGACCTCTCCAAATCTCTTGGTCAGTAGCGTAGCGAGGGGGGGCACGGGGGGGCATGTGCCCCTCCAAAATTTTTGAAAAAAAAAATTTTTGAAAAAAGAATTAAAAAAAACAAAACATATTAAACTGAAACGAAAGAGGAAAATAAATTATTACAACCTAAGATTTAAGAATGGCTAATAAAATAATGTTTGTTTCTTAAATTTTTGTTTGAGCGTTTATTTGTTTTATTGGGGAGTAATTTTTTTWTATTTTGGATCAATGCCCCCCCAGCTCCTAGGTCCTCACTACGCCCCTGCTCTTGGTGGTCTAAATCCAGAGGAAGTATTGCAGCACCCTAAACCATCATAAAATGTTTAACAACTGCATGATTTATATGCCTAAAACTAACATAGTACCTAATTTCTCTATTTTGCAGATGCTTTAGGTTTAATAATTTGACAGCCTTGGTCTTGGATTTCAACAAGTATGTTTAAAGTGGAACAACAACAAAAGTCATGCATTAATTTATATGATCCCAGAATCTTGCATCTTCATGAATCATAATTTACCTGCAAGCACAGCTAGCCACATACCCTGCGAGCAGAATCTTTCTTTTACCTTCTCCAGGAGACTTTGCCAGCAGGATATATACTAGCAACATGTTCAAACACCACTGCAAATTTAGCTGTTGGGGAGGAACGGTGATGTGACAAGTTGGGTGACTCCCCCCCACCCTAAAGTTTTTCTAAACTTGTGAATATAGTGAAACACTCTAAAGATGGAACACATAATGGTGTGTGTAGCCCTACTCCCCCCTCCCATTGCTCTCCACCCAATGACCAAGACCTCACTATCAGCCCCTGGGGAGGAAGCCATTCTTAATAATTG